CCAATTTAATGTTTTAATTTATGAAAACCACGAAAAAAAAATGGGGGGGGGGGGGAATCAACAACAACAAAACACACACAAACTTTTAATGAAGACAAAGGTGAAGAATTTACACTGCTGCATGGACGTGCCAAAGGGGAGCAAAAGGGACATACGACCAGGGCGCCGTCGTCAGGGGGCGTCAAGGTCATTATTTTTCATTCAAAAGATGTGGATTAATTTAGATTTAGTATTTGGGAAAAAGCGCGCCTCATTAAAGGCTCTGACCAGGGAGCCGCTTTTGTATGCCGTGGCCTTTGCGGCTTTACCTTTATTTTATACTGGGTTGACAAGAAGTTGTAACAAGTTTTAGTCATGCTGATAACTGGCCGGCAATAAGAGAAGAAAAACTTCAATATTTAGGACGCTCAAGCCTCGGATTATTTATGAATATAAAAAACTTATAATATAAATTAAATCAATGAAAGTAAATATTATTCAGAAAATGTAACTGGATACAATCAAAGAAACTACTCATTATATATGTTTTTTCATCTGACTACATATATCCTACCTATTTATATATATTATGCAAATTTGATTTATGCATATATGCGGTTTTTTAAATTTATTTTTGTTTGTACCGATGAAGGCATTTGCCGAAACGTTTGCATTTGTATTCTCTGTAATCATTTTTAAAGCTGAACATAGATCGTTTAATTTACACACCATGGGTGTGTCTCATTAATCTACTTGAAAGCTTTATCGCAGTCTAACACTTTTATAATCAATACAGTCGGGTAAATATAGAGGCCTAGCGGGCCACTTTTTGAGAGCTGATGTGCCACGAGTGGCCCGCGGGCCGGGGTTTGGGAACTCCTGACATAAAGGGACTGTTATTGTACTGGGCCCACACAATATACTTTAATAAAATAACCGTTAATAATGTAGTTCTCACATTGTTCGTTGATATTACATAGAATATTTTATCTTTCCCTTATAAGGGTTGACGTTATCAGTCTACTTCTCCATAAGAACTATTGTAGACAAGCAATCTTTAAATACGAATGACATAATAAAAGGTACACAATATGCTGACAATGTTGTGGCGTAACTTAAGTATGGGACACGCCCGGGGCAGGGGGGGGCAGACCATGCGTTTGGAGTTCCTCCTTCACGTACAAAAAAAAAAAAAGAAAAGAAAATTGGGTATTTGCTCATTCATTATCTTTAAAGATGTTAGATGTGAGCTATTTATTTTTTTTCACTTACTCTAAAATTCGCAATCAAAGCATTCGAACTCGTTACAGAATGGCCACTCATCTACTTATCAGACAGTCGAGAACATGGAGATGGGAGATACCAATGTGGCTTCCAGTCCTAACGGCCATGTGGTTGATGCCAACAAAGAATGCCAGGATCTCGTTATGGAGAAGAAAGAGTTTGACCACGGGAACTCAAGCCTCTGTTCTCGTGTCATCATGCGAGCACAGGAAGGCCTTATCAAGGGAGCTCACTTACACAAGGTGAACTTGGAAAGGAAAACCAGCAACAAATTCTAATATTATTTTGAGAGTTAATCTTTCTACGTAAGAATTTGAATTTATTGTTGTGCGCCCCTCGGTTAAACATTGGGATCTGTGCACTAAATTGTATTACATACAAATTAATAGTTTAATGGGTTGAATGGTTCCAATTGTTCTTGTTCTGGGTTATATTATTTCGGGTGTAGCATTTTTTTAAGTTACAAAGAAAATTATAGTTCTATTAGTGGTTTGTTTTATTTCTTTCTAGACATTTTTTTTTTCCTTTTGGCCGTGAATTTTGTTTTGTTTGGTTTTAAAAAAAAAAAAAAAAAACATTAAAAAAAAGAAAAATTTTTTTTTTTTTTTTATATTTTTTTTTTTTTTCTTTTGGTGTTGATTTTGTTTTTGTTTGTTGTAAAAAAAAAAAAAAAAAAAACATTAAAAAAAAGAAAACGAATTTCTGATCTTTGCAGAATATCATCATGTCCGTTGTCGGCGCTGTCTTCTTATTGCTCTACTTTGCCTACTTTGGATACGCCATGTACTACAGGTTTGGTGACGAGGGTTCCATCCGGCTCTTGGTCTGCACAATCATAGGCGTGGTCATGATGGTCTACAACCTGGTCATAGCCAAGAGGCTGGGTTTCTGCACTATTCCACTGGACCGTTTTTTGAGTAGCACTGACCACAAGAAAGTTAGGAAAATCATACGATGGTGAGCTCTTAATCAACACTTGTAGTTAAAGTTAATATAAGTATTTCTATTTTAATTATGTTAATGGCTTCTCAGTTTGCTCACAATCTCCCAAGGAATTAATGATGAAAATGTACTACAAATTATATTTAGACTTGCGATTACATGCCAAACAATTACAGTCGCACTCTTTATTCAGCGGTGATTTTTCTTCTTAAGAATCGAACGTTTGGAAAAAATAAGGTCAAACAATTTGAATAAGACTTTCAGTTTCAGGAGGTTTGGTGATTAATGTTATTGAAAGGGAAGCTCCCATTCCCATCCCCCACTTTTTTTTCCGGGGTCAAATACATCGATCAAAATCAGTGTCACTTATACGAGCGATGCTGATTTTGATATCATTTTGTGATTTAGTTGCAATCTACATTGTCCGAAGACGAATATAATTTCTAAAAAAAAAAAATCTTTTTGTCTTGGCAAAGTGAGTATGTCATGCAAATAATTTTAAAGAGACATTTCTTTAATTCACTACATACTTTTACGCAAGCCAGCAAAAAGCTCTCCAAACTAACTTTCCTTTATGGCGTGAAGTGAAAAGTGACATTCCCATCAGTCTAGATTTGTGTTCGTACAGCTATGCACCAGGAACGTAAAGGCAAGGTAAGCTGGTTCAATCGGGAGAAAGCCAACGGGTCCAACGTTTTAGTCAAAGTTTTCTTTCTGTAAAAGCATTATGAATCTTGGTCAAATTCGTTGTAAGCAATCTCTGTTTTTAGGGCTCTTTATATATCAAGTGCAGTTGCCATGGTGACGGTACTCATCGTTGTCGTTGCACTAGATGAACCCAGAAATCTACTCTCACTGGCCGGACTCGCCGCATTTATTTTCATCTGCTTCATTACATCGTACAGTCCTGCTATGGTAAGGATTGTGTAAGATGTCGGCTAAGGTGGGTTGCATGTAGGCTGTCTGCATTGGTGAGTTGCGTGTACGCTTTCTGTTATGGTGATTATTATGTAAGATGTCTTCTGCGCTGAGTTGCATATAAGCTATCTGCTATGGCGAGTTGCATGTCAGCTGTATGCTATGGTGAGCTGCATGTAAGCAGGGTTTTTTTTCAGGCATCTCTAGGGGGGAAGGGGGCACTGACCCCCAGTGAAAGTCAAGTGCCCCCCGGGGCTAAAAAAGAATGTTCAAAAACTATGGAATGATTATATATTATTTTAATCAAAATAACTAGTGTCATTTTTAAAAAGTTTTGTTTTTTTAAGTATCTGGTGCCTTTATCTGATTACAGTTAGTGCAGTCTATTAAAAATCGTTACTCTCGACATATTTTATTACATATATATATTCAAGGCCAATCTTGTTAAAAGCTTACAGTGTTCGATTATAAATATATTACTGTCCACTCCAAATTTTAAGCCGAAGTCTTACTTTCCGTTGTTGGCGCATTTCGATATTTCAACTTTTTTCAAATTCACAAATTCAAATATTTGGCCGATCTCCCTTTCACAATACAAACTGTGCAATTGTCAGATAATTCCGCACTTCAAATAAAAAAAAGGGAGACTTGGTGAAAAACCTCATCCTCCTCCTTTCTACGCCACTGGAAGGGGCGCAGCATTAGTGGCGTAAGGGGACATTATTTATTTTTATGCCCCCCCCCAATAACTCAGAACAAAAAAATATTTTCCATTAATATCATCATTGTCCACTTTGGTGCCGCCTCTAGTCTGGCGCTCCGGGACGTATGTCCCATCTGCCACCCCGTAGCTACGTCTTTGGCCACTGCCCACTGGCAACTGGCACTGCCCCCCCCCCGAATATCTGAAATCCTCCCCCCCCCGAGAAAAAGGTCTGAAACAAACACTGCATGTAAGTTGTCAGCTATGGTGAGTTGCATGTAAGCTCTCATCTATGGTGAGTTGTATGTAAGCTCTAAGCTAGGGTGAGTTGTATGTAAGCTCTCATCTATGGTGAGTTGCATGTAAGCTCTCAGCTATGGTGAGTTGTATGTAAGCTCTCAGCTATGGTGAGTTGTATGTAAGCTCTCATCTATGGTGAGTTGCATGTAAGCTCTCATCTATGGTGAGTTGAATGTAAGCTCTCAGCTATGGTGAGTTGTATGTAAGCTCTCAGCTATGGTGAGTTGTATGTAAGCTCTCAGCTATGGTGAGTTGCATGTAAGTTCTCAGCTATGGTGAGTTGCATGTAAGCTCTCATCTATGGTGAGTTGCATGTAAGCTCTCATCCATGTTGAGTTGTATGTAAGCTCTCAGCTATGGTGAGTTGCATGTAAGCTCTCAGCTATGGTGAGTTGTATGTAAGATCTCATCTATGGTGAGTTGTATGTAAGCTCTCATCTATGGTGAGTTGTATGTAAGCTCTCAGCTAGGGTGAGTTGTATGTAAGCTCTCAGCTATGCTGAGTTGTATGTAAGCTCTCAGCTATGGTGAGTTGCATGTAAGCTCTCAGCTATGGTGAGTTGTATGTAAGCTCTCATCTATGGTGAGTTGCATGTAAGCTCTCATCTATGTTGAGTTGTATGTAAGCTCTCAGCTATGGTGAGTTGCATGTAAGCTCTCAGCTATGGTGAGTTGCATGTAAGCTCTCATCTATGGTGAGTTGCATGTAAGCTCTCATCTATGGTGAGTTGTATGTAAGCTCTCAGCTATGGTGAGTTGCATGTAAGCTCTCATCTAGGGTGAGTTGTATGAAAACTCTCATCTATGGTGAGTTGTATGTAAGCTCTCAGCTAGGGTGAGTTGCATGTAAGCTCTCATCTATGCTGAGTTGTATGTAAGCTCTCAGCTATGGGGAGTTGCATGTAAGCTCTCAGCTATGGTGAGTTGCATGTAAGCTCTCAGCTATTGTGAGTTGTATGTAAGCTCTAAGCTATGGTGAGTTGTATGTAAGCTTTCATCTATGGTGAGTTGTATGTAAGCTCTCATCTATGGTGAGTTGCATTTAAGCTCTCAGCTATGGTGAGTTGCATGTAAGCTCTCAGCTAGGGTGAGTTGTATGTAAGCTCTCAGCTATGGTGAGTTGTATGTAGGCTCTCATCTATGGTGAGTTGTATGTAAGCTCTCATCTATGGTGAGTTGCATGTAATCTCTCATCTATGGTGAGTTGTATATAAGCTCTCAGCTATGGTGAGTTGCATGTAAGCTCTCATATATGGTGAGTTGTATGTAAGCTCTCAGCTATGGTGAGTTGCATGTAAGCTCTCAGCTATGGTGAGTTGTATGTAAGCTCTCAGCTATGGTGAGTTGTATGTAAGCTCTCAGCTAGGGTGAGTTGTATGTGAGCTCTCATCTATGGTGAGTTGCATGTAAGATCTCAGCTATGGTGAGTTGTATGTAAGCTCTCAGCAAGGGTGAGTCGTATGTAAGCTCTCGTCTATGGTGAGTTGCATGTAAGCTCTCATCTATGGTGAGTTGTATGTAAGCTCTTATCTATTGTGAGTTGCATGTAATCTCTCAGCTATGATTAGTTGTATGTGAGCTCTCATCAGTGGTGAGTTGTATGCATGCTCTCAGCTATGGTGAGTTGTATGTAAGCACTCAGCAGTGGTGAGTTGTATGCATGCTCTCAGTTTTTGTGAGTTGCATGTAACCTCTAAGCTGTGGTGAGTTGTATGTAAGCTCACAGCCATCGGGAGTAGTATTTAAGCTCTCAGCTATGGTGAGTCACATGTAAGCTCTCAGCTATGGTCTTTATCTAGTTGCCTGACAGTCTAAGTTGTTATAATGTATGCACGACACAACACAGGTCGTGGGCCAGTCAGCATAGTTTTCAATAGTTCTGTTATAATTACCTATGGGCGTATGCCTACACATATTCAGGAATAAATTAAATGTGTTCTTTTCAAAGTGATAATTTAAGATGATTAAATTGTTGAAATAAAATAGATTTTAAAAAAATATAAGAAACATATTCCGGGCTTTAAAAAGTCAATAGGCGATTTCGTCGACAAAGATTTTAATTTTTGTAAAATAAAGACAAAAGAGATGATATGAATTTAGAGGTGATTAAAACAATGTTGAAAAAATAATGAAGAAAATATTTTAGGATTATAAAAATTTATTTGCAGAGAAAGCCACATAAAATGTTAACAGTGTGTTTCAAGACTCACTTTATAAAAATTTAAATAATTGCCTTATCAACGTCCGCAAATCGACTCGTCGGTGGAACCGCCTGTCGGCGAATTGGCGGTGGAGAAACGTCCGATTCGGAGCAGCTTGTTTGCCTCACAGATGTAGTGATCAATATTATTTTAATATCTAAGCTGTTGGCATAAGTAAAAAGAGGAAATAACTATGGAATTTAGCTGCTGTAATACTTTGGTTATGAGCAACAATTATTTTATACAATATTACAATCTTTTTTTAATGTATGCTTTTTATTAGTATTTTTAATGTTCACATCTAATACTCAATAATGTCGTTTTTATCCTTTGTATGACGGCTTTTCTATGAAACATTTATGGATACAATTTCAGGTGAACTGGCACCCGGTGTACATGGGGTTTGTAGTCCAGTTCTTCTTTGCTCTGATCATCTTGAAAACCCGCTGGGGATTCGAGACGTTCAACTGGCTGGGTGACCGCGTCACAGAGTTCCTGGCCTACAGCAACGCCGGGGCAGCGTTTGTGTTTGGCGACTACGCCAGGATCGTATCATTCGATGGTCAAGTTATCGAGTTCACCGGAGTCTACACCCTGCATTTCTTTGCGTTTTCTGTGAGTAGCTTTATTTAGCACTTCTAACCTGCTTGCAAGACTGATCAACATTTTACATAGGTTTTGTCAGCGTGCGAAGATTATTTTCAACTTAACTGGATTGAAACTGAACTAAAAATGTAAAAGTAAATCGTTTTGCCGTTTCATACAAGGGAAGTAAATCAATACGTTCTCTGAAGAATTAAAAAATAAATCGATTATAAATACATTATTTATTTTTCAGATTATGCCAGTGGTCACCTTCTTCAGTACAGTTATTGCTGTCCTGTACTACCTCGGCATTATGCAGGCCATCATAAAGGTCATTGGCCGATTTCTATCCTTCTGGATGGGGACAACTCCTGCTGAATCAATCAGCGTGGCCGCAAACATATTCGTTTCCATGGTAACTGAGTTAGTTCTATTACCTTTTTCATGAACCGTCAAATTTCGCATCCTTATCAAAATGATCTTCTGCCTCAGCTGTAAGCCATAAAATCATGTCGTCTTAGTCAACATGAAGCATTCATTTAAAACTGGAAATAAGCGGAATCCACTCATCTTAGAAACTGCTAAAGAAAGTAAGAAAGCCTCGTGCCCAGCTGTCATACCTACTTGCGCTAGTGTCCCCACAAAGCATTCTTGAAAGGATCAGCTCGTATAAAATGAATAGAAAATTATATTATTAATTAGGACGAAATTTAAAAAAAAAAAGTTGCTACTCTCAACTGAATCGTAAAAAAGGGGATGCACCTATAAATTGGAATGTAAATATTTAAGCCAGATCACAGCACCCATTGAACTGCGGAGACGTAGGCACGTGATCAACCTTTCCCTCGGGAGATATTCTGTCGGTGATCACTGGAAGTTAGGGAAAAACTGTTTCAAGATACAATTTAATTAGAACACGTGTTTTAACACATGTCTCAGTGTGCCGACGTCTAATGATTTGTCTATATCTCAGACAGAGGCACCTTTAATGATTCGTCCATTCCTGCCTAAAATGACCAGCTCTGAGCTCCACACTGTGATGGTGGGGGGCTTTGCCACAATCGCTGGAAGTGTTCTGGGAGCTTACATTGGATTCGGGGTAAATCTTTTAATACGAATAATTTACTTTATGTCATAATAATTAATCTTGACATAAAAACGTAAAACATGGCTTTATTTAAAAAAAAAAACAAAGTCGTAAATATTTATGAATATATGCCTGGATATAATGCTGAAGGACTGCGCTGCACATACTCAAGTGTCTTGATACAATTTACACTGATGCATTTAAAAAAAAAATTATTATTATTTCTGATTCTTGCCACGATACAATATAAATCGCACATACAAACACGAACTATGTCCAACAGTTCAAGGGTTATAGTCACTGTCGTTTATCACCAACCTGACCGACTTCTAGGTGCCCGCTGATCACTTGCTCTCGGCCTCAGTCTTGTCTGCCCCGGCGGCGCTAGCAATATCCAAACTGCTGTACCCTGAAATCGAAGTGCCCGTGGTCAAACCTGAAGACTACGACAAAATGGAAAAAACGTACGTGCTTTAAGGAATCATTAGCAAAAGACTGGTAGCTGTAAATAGCTTATTGGGTACATCTGCTCATAAATACATTAGAACTCAAAGAATAAAATTAGAGCAACTCAGTCATTGTTTGCCATTCGATGAGATAATAATTTGATTTGGCGAGCTTATTCTTTAAATTTGATATTTTGATTATAAAGATGAAGGCTCCCTCTACCAACGTAATAACTATTTTAACTTTAAAAAAAAGAAAAGATTTAGTATGAATTTTTAAAACAACTTATGATGAAAACAAATATTTCGGTAAATTATAATTAACTATAGCATATTGTTTATTGGTTAAACATGTCTAACTATTATATCCTCTTGTCCTTAAATATAACTCTAGCAGCTAGAGTAACTACAGAGTCTGAGTTTATATAGCGTCTAGAATAACTACTGGAGACGTAGAGTTTCTTAAGTAGCCATAATAGAGAAACCACACTGGTTAGACCTTACAAATTACACAAAGTGACTACATCAGCTATTGAGTAACACGGATGTCTTTCTTATCTGTTCATAGAACAAGCTGTCTCAATAATTGTGAAAACGACTCACGTTATTATGGTGTACAGTAGTTTTAAACAGATTTATATTTGTACACTTATTTCATAGTCCGTGTACGAGTCCATTTTGTTTACCCCCCACAGTGGAGAAAGTAACGTCATTGAAGCAGCTTGTAACGGCGCCAACATCTCGGCTAAAATCATAGCAGCTATAATCGTCAACGTCATGGCTTTCCTCTCACTCTTGAAATTTGTCAACGCCACGCTGACCTGGTTTGGTGACAGGGTTGGAGTTCAAAACCTGACCTTTGAGGCAAGTATCGTCCAATGTCGTTTTTTTTTAATGTACACATCTCATTGTACACATCTCATTGTACACATCTCATTACCTGAGAGGAAAGTATAGAAAATACAATGAATGTCACTTCGACGTCTACACATAGGAAATGTCACTTATTGTTAGGATTTCGAAAGGTTGCGTTTAATTTAAATTTAAAAGCTTTATACTATTCGAAACTCTTATAATTACTTCTAATCTGTTCTTTGTAATACAATGACTGTCAACATTATCTGTATTTCCGTTGTAAGACAACTCCATACGTATCACTTAATGTCAATCAACAGCTGATCTGCTCTTACGTCCTCTATCCCATTGCACTGTTCATGGGCACTGAGCCAGAGGACTGTCGCAAAATGGCGGAACTCGTTGGACTTAAAACGTTCACCAATGAATTTATTGCATACGAGTAAGTTATCACTTCATATAGGTTACACTAAGTGAAGGTGCAACCAATGGTGTAACAATCCTGACATTTATGTTGATGATAATAATACAATACTATCACTACTACTACTGATAATAGAAAAGTTAGAGCTAGATGTTTTGTTATTAAGAAGTTAGTGTGTCGGTGTCACTCAAAGGGGTGAACTCATGGTGTCAGCCCCGTCACCACCCCTTCTTTCCTGACTTCCCGCATCGATCTCTCTGAATCTCCCCGTATTAGAGCTCATAGAATTCACTTAAAGTTAAGTTATTAAATTGACGTTAATTCAACCAACGGCATCTGGGACCACTGTGTTGCAAACGTCATTACGGGCGCCTTTGTCATAAATTAACACATTTTATGCTTCCATGAGATCCGATTATGGACCTGATACAAGCGCTTACGAATCAATCTGGTGGGAACCTGCTCTTGTTTTTAAATTTTACGATCGGTAATGCAGGTGACGCGAAAGAGAGTTCGGTCAAAAATGTCCGTATTCATTTTGGTGTCACGCCCTTGTGAGGGTGTCTACCGGTCCAGCCGCATACCACACACTCCCAGTTTAGGTTACTGGGCTATTTGTAGGAGGCGGAGAAGTAGTAATGTTGGTAATAATAATTATTATTCACTCTATCTAGTAATACTTCAGTTTTTAAATTAAAATATGTGTTGGGGCACTTTTTGGTCTCGTCTACTCTTCGAATATCACAATGCTCCAATTTAAGATACAATTTCGATATCAGGAAATTATCAGGACTAATCAAGAACCGAAAGATATATCTTAACTACGTTGTTACACATGCACAAAACTACTCGAGCTACGTAGACGGCGATGACCTGGTCTTAGGCGATGGGACGAGACTGCTCAATGGCATAATGTCGGTACGTGTGTAATTTAGGAATAATTTCGGTACGGGTGTATTGTTGGTATTCGTTAAAAAAATATTGGAATAATGTTGATACGTATGTAATGTCGGTAAGCATGGCAAGCAGAGAATAACAGCGCATCCTACAGAAACTATACACATAATTAAACTATACACATAATTGGCAGAAACTCAACAATTATAAAAAAATGTGACAAATTCATTTAGTTTTTTTTTTTCGTTTCAGCAAAGGTCACAGATCATAGCCACATACGCCCTATGCGGTTTTTCAAACATCGGCTCTATGGGGATCCTTCTAGGGAGTATGTCTGCCATGGCACCACAGCGAAAGTCAGCAATGTCCAAAATAGTCCTTAGAGCCATGATTGCAGGAAACATAGCGTGCTTCTTTACGGCGTGTATAGCAGGTGAGTTGATTCAAGTGTTAGATGTATTTCAAGGGGTCACTTATACGCCTAATCCATTTAGCAGGTGAGTTGACGGTACTTTACGTTCAAAGCTCTTGATTTACGCGATGCTATCGGAAAGTCCCGGGACTGACTCTAAGAAAATCAGCTGGGAACTAAGATTATAGCGGCGTGAGTCATCTTCAGATATCCTGCGTGATGATATGAATGTACCCTCTACAACCAACTCCCGTCATGTGACAAACCCCCTGATCTGTTTGTCAGCGATCCTCCTCGACTTGTAGATTGATTACCTCAACAGCTTCAATCATTTAGCCGGTGACTGGTTTTTCTGAAAGTTATTTGCCATGAAACGTGCGTGCCATTCAAAATTCTGCGTTATTTTTTTTTTACCCATAATGAGATATCATAGCTGCCCTAGCATGAGGTTAACACAAACAATGGTAGCAACTAAACTCTAGCAAACAGGGTAGCGCAACTCGGCACACAGATTCAGGAGACCTGGACGCAAAGACATTCAACGTGAAAGCTGTGTTGGGGGAGCGGTAAAGTCTAGGAGAATCCAACCTCTGAAATTGCTGGTGTCACTGCGTGCAGTGGGTGTTTGGTTTGCATGTTGTTGAGATTTCATTGCTGTTCATTACTATGACTTTTATCTATGAATTACTCTGAATTAATGGCTTGCTTATTGAAAGAAATGGATATATAACTGAGCCAAATGTACATAAATTGTTTCCTTTTCAGGTTTATTTTTCCAAGAATTCAAGTAAATGCAATGTAGAGTAATACTCATGACCTTGACAAAATCTTACAGCTGCACAGAATATCTTTAATTCAAGTTGTTTATTAAATAGTATTTTTGTCATGAGAAAATAAAATTCAGCAGAAAACGTATAATGTCGTTTTGAAAAGAATTAAATAATTGGCAATATATTTTATGCATAGCCTCTCCCTGTGTGTCTGTCTGTCTCACTCTCCCTCTCTAACATACTCATACACACAGACACACACACACATATATATACAAACACGCAAACTCGCACACATTCTCTTGGAATTTTCTCATTATTGGAATCCACATTCTCTTACTGTCTGTCTCTCTCTCCCCCCCCCCCTCAACCACCCTCTCGTTTGTCTTAAGATTGTAAATACTTCTTTAAGGGCACTTTGTGTGTAACACCAACTTATTGTTTAAGAATTAAATAATTTACTACGACACTTGACTTTTTCGAGTAAAACTTTGTACAAACATCCCTTTTCAGTCACTGTGGTGACACAATATTGTACACACAATATTTGTTAAAACGATTAGAGACCCCCCCCCCCACTTTCCTTTTGTTGTTATAATCAGAGAGATATAATCAGAGAACCCACCTTCAGTTCGTTAAAGACAAAGACAGAGTAGCACAAAATATCACTCCAATTTTGGGACAGGGGCCAAAACTCAAGTCAAGCACATCACATCATGCGTTGTTGTTTTTTTCAGCTTGAATTTTTTTTGTTTGTTAAAATAGACTAAACGATGACGAGACTTCAATTGATTAAGTTCTTTACAATTTTCTAGAATTAGTTAAATTTTAAAATCTCCGAATCGAACTCCTGCCATTCGCGCTTCACTCGCACAACTGATCAGTTTAGTTTTATCGGTAATTGAAAAAAAAAGAGATGCATTTATTTACTTGAAAAGTATTTAAGAATAACGTTTCGAAATTTACTTTTACTTTTTTTTTGTAAAGAGACGAAGGACGTTGGTTCCGTTGACCCCTATAATACAATTTGGTGCACAAATACCGGTATTTTCATTTCTTTTTTAAACATTTTTTTTGGTACATTTATTAGACCTTCATCTCAGAAATTATAGTTTAAATTGGTTTGGGTTAGCCAAATGTTTTTCATGTTGTATTTATTTATACACATTAATTTCTTTGTGAATTTAAAAAAAAAAAAAGTTTATTTCTGTTAACCCTACATGTAAATAAAGTACATATAATTTCAGAACTTTTACAGTCATTTCTTTTCAACATTATTGTGTCTGAAAAAAAAATATCTGGTAGCTAACCCTTAGACATTTATTCAAATTAATAAATTCCCTCATCCCTTAGTGTAGAGTCTAACGTGGCAACGATTATTGGGATCCACCCACGAGCTAAAACAAAACTGCGGGGCAATGACTGCGCTCTAACGTTTCAACCTTCGGATTTTTCTGTCATTTATTCCGTGGTATTGGTCATGAAGGGTTTGGCTGAAAGACCTCGGACACTCGAAGTCAAAGCCTTAGACCTCGGACACTTGAAGTCAAAGTTTCAGACCTCGGACACTCGAATTCAAAGTTTTAGACTTGGGACACTCGAAGTCAAAGTTTAAAAAAAAAATTGAGTCACCATCACAGATAGACAAAGCCCACCTACCCAACGTGCGGGATTGTTAGGGGTGTCTATTACATAGCGTTGTTGTGTTGGTGTGTCGATAACACTTCTGGCGTTGTGTTGGGGTGTCGATTACATTTCTGGCGTTGTTGTGTCGGGGTTTTGGAGCTAAGGCCCACGGTTATGTACGTCAGTGTCGACACATCCAACGGAACTATATTGGAGACGGGCTCCACTTCTGACTTGACTAGATTAGTGCAACATTCGCTGATGTCTCTTCATGTCGTGAAGCTATTTCTTTCAGACAAATATAGAGATAAATAGATTAAATTCTGCCGACCCACCGTTTCGGAACACGACCGTATTGTTCGAGTTTTTTTTTTCTTCAATTTTGGGACGTAGGTGGTAATGCTGGCGTGTTGAATCCAGGCGTTTTCAATTCGGAGACTTGTGTCTCAGAGCTTACGTTTGATTGACGAAAGGTCAAGAAATTAATCAAATAACAACATTTTTTAAAGATGTACAAAGGAACGTACAAGCTGGTGGGAAGGTGTTCCTTTTTTTCTCCAGGTTTTCCCCATACTTTGTTTTACTCAGTGGCGTAGCTAGGGGGTGCGGGGGGGGGGGATGACACGATATCAGGTGGTGACACCCAAATGAAAAAAATGCATATTTGCACACTGCGCTTTAACGGAATTTCAAAAAATTAAAAGGATTAACCAATCACAAGCAATGTTCCCTTTAAGCTACGCGGCCGCGCTGCTATCTCACAGACACCGCGCAGCAGTTTTGAGTACCGCGCAGCAAATTTCCATGTAAGTGAGTGTTTGTGTATGTGTACAATTTTGCACACAAAAAATTGATGCTGTAAAACTTTGCACACAACGGTATGATTTAGCGCACGAACCAACAAACCTTAGAGGGAACATTGATCACAAGTAAATGTTCCACACATGTAACCAATCCAAGTGATACGATGAAGAGTATTGATTTTGATCAAGTGATTGAAAGGTTTGCACCTTTGAAGCCCAGGATTGGAAAATGTTAAATAAAGTAATTTTAAGGTAAAAATAACTATGACTTAACGCTGTTACAGTTCTTAAATACATTGACCTCCTGACCTTCAGCTCATTTTTATTCTTGTCATTGTTATTCTGTGGACTTATTTTAACAAGAATAGATATGTCGTGGAATTCGGGGGAGGGGGGGGGACATCATGAGTTTACCGCACCGGGTGACACCAACCCTAGCTACGCCACTGGTTTCACTCTTGTCTTTGTTTCGCTAACCTGTTTGCATTCTCTCCCCTTGATCAATCTTGAATGGTAGCTCGTCATCTAGGGGAACGAAACTCTGCCCACTCCTCCTTGCCACAGGCCAAGAAATTAGGCGGGGGAAAACAAAGCGCTAATTTAACGCTGCGCAGGAAAAAAAAATGGTATGTCCCAGAACTGTTGGGCAGACCGCCAAATGCACAGCTCCGCCAAATGCACAGCTCCGCCGAATGCACAGCTCCGCCAAATGCACAACTCCGCCAAATGCACAGCTCCGCCAAATGCACAACTCCGCCAAATGCACAGCTCCGCCGAATGCACAGCTCCGCAAAATGCACAGCTCCGCCGAATGCACAGCTGCGCCGAATGCACAGCTCCGCCGAATGCACAGCTGCGCCGAATGCACAGCTCCGCCGAATGCACAGCTCCGCCGAATGCACATCTCCGCCGAATGCACAGCACCCGCCAAATGCACAGCTCCGCGACGTCTTCCCGGTACTAGCGAACAGAAGACGACCAGCATGAAAGGATTTAGTCACTGTTTAAAGTAATATGAAAGTGTTCAACAGAAAATGACTCGTTGGACTAGGCATTTAGAGCGGTGGGCCTTTGAATTATAACGAGAACCACTGATTCTGTGCCTTATGACAGAACACGGGCGACGCAAATGTAATTCACCTGATAATTTATCGCGTCACTATTATTCGTGTCACCGTTGTGGTGTTTTTACCCCCCCCCCTCCCCGGCCCAGCCCCCCAAAACGCACTTCCAAAAGTAATATAAACATATTTTCACATTTATAAATGAAACAAAAGACTTAAGTGTTAGGTGTAGATCTATAAATGAAACAAAAGACTTAAGTGTTAGGTGTAGATCTATAAATGAAACAAAAGACTTAAGTGTTAGGTGTAGATCTATAAATGAAACAAAAGACTTAAGTGTTAGGTGTAGATCTATAAATGAAACAAAAGACTTAAGTGTTAGGTGTAGATCTATAAATGAAACAAAAGACTTAAGTGTTAGGTGTAGATCTATAAATGAAACAAAAGACTTAAGTGTTAGGTGTAGATCTATAAATGAAACAAAAGACTTAAGTGTTAGGTGTAGATCTATAAATGAAACAAAAGACTTAAGTGTTAGGTGTAGATCTATAAATGAAACAAAAGACTTAAGTGTTAGGTGTAGATCTATAAATGAAACAAAAGACTTAAGTGTTAGGTGTTGATCTATAAATGAAACAAAAGACTTAAGTGTTAGGTGTAGATCTAATGATATTTTATCTGTTTACATTTAATGTAGCCACCAAAAAAATAAAAAAAATACTGTAATTAAAATAACGACATTTAAATAAAAATTAACCTTGAGGAAAATTGTTTTTAAAAAAAAAGTGTTTCAACAGGAGCCAAAATAAAATGCAGATAAAAAACTTAAGAAAAATAGTGCATAGAATGTACTGTATTTAAAGATATTAAATTATGTATAGAAACACACGATAATCCCACTGAGCCTAATGGTAGAAATTTTGAAACATAAAAATGCTTTACACCCACATTGCGTCTGGAATTTATGAATTGTTTTGGAAAGTATATTGTATTCATCACTCCCAATTTTAATTTTAAAAAATCATTATAATAAAAGAAATTCCCTTTTCTAATCTGACAGCCATAGTTACCTATTGTACTCATCCTCCCACCCTAAATCATGCAAAGACTCCATACCTTTCTCACAACTTCTTAGACTACGGCGTCTCTGCCAAATTGATGAGGAATTCCTAGAAAGAGCCGATGAAATGATGGATTTCTTCCGCTCCTGATCCTATCCTATCCTATCTTGTGTCAGCACTAGATCGCATCAGCACGATCATACGAAAAGAGGCTTTTCAAAACTCGCCCAAACAACAATGAAGATCGCACCAAACTGATACTAACCTACCACCCTCACAATTTAACTGCCAAAAAAATGATCCTAAAAATCATAGCATACTTCTTGCTGACCCTGATACCAACAGGGTTTTCTCATCCCCTCCACTGATTGTCTTTAGACGGGACAGAAATCTTGGTGATCTTCTGGTTCATAGTCGCCTTCGATCTGAACCATCTTACGTTGGTACTAAACCATGCTTAAGAAGCCGCTGCAAGACTTGTCCCTTCATTTATTTATTTATTTATTTAGGCATTTTTATATAGCGCTTATCATAAAGCTCTAAGCGCTTTACAGTTATTAAAACATGTAAACTAAGTAAATACAAATGAGACACTAGGATAGTAACTACCATTCTATAGAAACAATGAAAATGGCTATAAAAAGAGGACACTTTGACACTTCAGGATTAAACCGAAACAGAAAATTAGGTAGGGCAAGGAGGGTGCATCACAGGTCATAGGCGGACCTAAACAGATGAGTTTTAAGGGACTTTTTGAAAATGGACGAGGTTTCACTATGACGTATATGGCACCTTTACAATAAAAGAGGGTTTCACCTGTGTCAGCCGTAATGAAATATTCGACTGTGTGCCGTAGATGCCAATCTAGTTACATAGGTGAAACTGGGAGAAGATTGACTGATAGGTTTACTGAACATCTAAGGGCTATTGAGCAATGTAAACCTTCCCCAGTCTCTTCTCATTTCAAAAGAAAAGAACATACAGGTGCATTGGATGTAACCATTACGGCATTGATTTCATGCA